ACAGAGATTTTACAAAACGGTTCCAGTTGCTCAGATAATCTGGAAAACTGAAAAATGGAATAGCTTTTAAAAAGTATTCGGGTCACTAAAGTCGTCATGAAAACCTGTTTTTGAAACATATTGAAGAGCTGGTAACGGGGCAGGGAGTTTCCTAACATTGCCATATGTAAAGTAAAATTCCTTACCTCTCCAAAAATCTTGTCTGTGATGACTTCTGTAGAAAGAGCTCCACATATCCATATTCTTTAATTTGACAGACTTTTCAGTACAATCTGCTGTAGACCTTTTACTTTCCATATAGCTTCACTATAGAGAAGTGTCCTCACTAAAACAAATCAGTACAAGTAGGTCTATCTCAGAGCTGGGTCTTAGACTTTTATCACTATTATTAGTTAAAATTTGAAAAAGTTACATGAAATGAATAGAAATAACCATTTTTTTTTGTGTTTTTATTCATCCCATAATTTATAAAACACTACATTGCAAAAAGAGGTCAATGATTATAAAAGAAAGCATTCAAAATATGAGTGATTTAATGAAATGATACTGGGACGAAAACAAGACACCAACAAGGTTTGTCAAATATCAAAATATAGAGACACAGACATGGCATCAAGAATGATATTGCCAGTCTAATGAAACAATGTCCATACTTTTCAAAGTATGGATGTTATTTTTTAGTTAGATACTAACCAAGATCAGCACTACGTTGTGCAAAGTAAAAATGATCCAGTATTTTAAAAAAATAACCAAAGCATTTTTTTTTTTTAAATTTTTAATAATGGCTACTATAGACATGTCACTGAATAGTTAGTTGACAGTATCAATACTTTTACATTTAGTTCACATTGACCTAGTAGTGCAGTATTCTTATAAACCAAAACAAGCAAATCAGGACGTTTCAAAAATACAAAAACAAGTAATTTTCACTTATAATGATATGCTGTTGTGTGAAAATACGGTAAAAACAATTTTCTATTATTGTTCAACTTTCATTAAAAACAAAATAAGACAATCTTCTGAATCATTTTATATGATAAAACAAAGGATCCTTGCACAAACTGGAAAATGAGTCCAAGTTGATTTCATCGAATCTTTGATATTTTATAGTTGTAGTGGTCCTAATCAGAATGCATAGGCACAAAATCAAAAAATTGACAGTTTTTCAGTTATAGAGCATGCAAGATGCTAAAGCATAATTTATACACAAAGATTTTGGGCTTCATAAAACATTATCAATGTTTGGTACATTATCTGGATTTTTCTTGTGGAGAAATCATTATGCAATACAGTGAAGCAGATGCATTCCATTATGTGATGCATTGGTGTCCTTCTTGCGGGAGGTCTGCTTATAAGTTGAAAACAGTCAAAAAGGAACTTTGTAGAATATTTTGTTTTGTATTTTGAAACAAAAAAGATTCAGTGTATCACAGTATGTGCCCGAATTACACTGTTTTTACATCTTACAAGTTAGATGCCCAACTCAAAAACTGTCCATTTTTCATCTTATTGGAGCTATTTCCAAAAAAAATAAATATTCTGAGACTTATATAAGTTAAATTTTTTACTTTAAGTTTTTAAAATTATGAAAATCTGACACTTTTTTCTGTGGAAAATATAGAAAACTCATAGATTTGTATGTCTTCATTTTGTTAGTGCATAACAGTTCTTACACAGAAAAATACAGAATTTTGTTAATATTTGCCAGAAATATTTGTTGAACTAGTTTTATAGTAAAAGTTTAGATAAATATCTTTAGCAACTTACTTTAAAATCAGAATGATTTTAGTTAGATGTTTACTCAAATCTCTACTGCAGATCTAGTTCAACAAACATTTTTCTTCTTTTAGTTAAACTCTCTCTCCCAAAATCGAGATCTTCAGCATCCAAGGCAGACTGGTACAAAAAATATGGTGTTTTTCTTTACCTGAAATGTTCAATCAGGTATTAACCAACTATCACTAACTGATAGTTGGTTTAGCAATAGTTGAAACACATATGTCAAGCAATAACCAACACTAGGCATGAGAGGTCATATGATGTCTAATCCATCAATCTAGCCTGGTATTGTATAGTTTGTATATTTTTGGTGAACTGTAACTTTAACTGAATAAACTTTAATATAAATTCAAATGTCATTATCTATTCACATCTTTGTATGAATTAAAACTAGAGATCAAATATGCCAGAGGTTCTTTGTACATTTATACATTCTTTGTAGATTTATGCAATTGTATAAAAATATATATATATACATTTATTTTAGTTTAATATGACTACAAGATCCCCCTCCAGAAAGGCATGTGGTTGGTAAGTCTTTAAACATTTTTTATGAGCATTTTCTCAAATCTCCTAATTATGTTTGAATCCTTTTCCATTCTTGAATGTCATCACAAGATAATGTTCTAGAACCAAGCTTTTTTTTTAATTGACTGTGAAAAACTCAACTAATTTTTCTTTTTAATATATATATATATATATATGGGATTCTTGGAACCCTGCAGCAGTTGTAACAATGGAAGTAAGGTTTATGACCCAAACACTAAGCAATCAACAAAAACCTTATTTGGAAAAATGATGTCATGTTCATCTCTTTTTATAATGCTTCACTTCACTTCATATAATAATAAACATTCGTGAAAGTATCATGGCAATGATTAAGGATTTATTACAAATGGTACTTACAGAAAATTTAAAGTTTTTGTAGATTTAATAAATAATATAAAGTATGGAAAAAATTTTAATGAGCAACAGTTTCTTATTAAAAACTGTTTAGTTGTATGTACTCAATCAAATTAAGTTTTAAATAAATGTTTAATGCCAAAAATAAAATGCATTAATTGGATTTCCATTCATTATATTAGAAATTATAAAAAAAAAAAAAAAATTAAACTCTAAAATTACCTTTTGAGTTATAATTGTTAAATTCTCACATACATTGATAATATATTTCATTATCTTATGAAACTTTTCATCTTTAATTTCAATGCTGAAACAGCATAGTGATGCTTAACTATCATTTTCTTCTGTTCTGATTAAAAACACTGTTATAATAATACTATAACCTTTTTCAAATCAGCAAAAACATCAGTTTACTCATCAAAACAAACATTTTTTAGCCTTTTTTAAAGGCCATCATATAGTATAGTGCTAGTGAAACAAATGAGTTAACTGAAACGTTAAGAAAAAACTGAGATTTTTAAGACAAAATTACTTTAAGATTATGGTGAATACAAATATACGTAATAGTTTTAAAAACAGAATATATATTTTTATATACATACTACTACAAATGATTTTAATATGAATAATCAAACTTAATAAAAGATTTAAACAAGTTTGTTATTTTAATAAGCTTGATAAAATTAAGGAGTCAAAGAATTAAAACATCTTTGAATAAAGTTTAAAATTTATCTGTTAACTTAAAAAATATTGCATTTGTCTAAACATTACTTCACCTCCCAAAAACAAATACAAATCTACAGAGAAACAGAAATTTTGGAACGAATAACATTATATGATTGTAATTTGATCTGTGAATTAATAAATAATAATACAGCAATTGTAAAGAAATTATTTTAATTTATTATGTTGTCATTTGATAATTTTTAATGCAGTGAAATGTAGAAACAGTGAGTGTCAATGGAAAGTTTTTTTTTTTTTATATGATTGAGATATTTATAAAACATTATGTCATAGATTATGAATTGAAATTCAACTCCTATTAATGCCATGTTTAAGCAATTTCAAGATACTTAAAGTATTTTAAAATAAACTTACATTTTTACAGAGGCTTAAAATAATGATTATAAAAAAAATTCCAGATGATATCTGATGTAGAAATTAAAATAATTGACAGATCGTAATAGTAATTTTCATATTATTTACAGAAATTTTATTAACTTTTAATTATACTTCAAAAGTTATTTTTATTTTAAAATTTGAATTTCCTGTATTTCTAGTTTATATAACCTAAAATGTAAATATTTTGATAACTAATTTAATTTGAAAAAAAATATTGTACGTATGCAAAGAAGAAAATAAAAATTTATTCTTGAACATATACAGAATGAATGATGATAAAACAAAATATTTTAATTATAACAAAATTTTTGGGTTTTGCTTTTTAAGATTAAAAGTTTTTAATTAATTTTTTTTTTCACTTTTTTCTTATTATATCCAATTCTAGTAGCACATTTTGGTACACACGGTTTTGTATAAATTTTTGTCAGAAATACAAGATAGTCCAAGTGTGGAAATATCCATATAAGACAAAAACAGATTGGCAAACAGTAATCTAATGTCCTGACATGATAAGGAAAAAGAGAAAACCTGTTAGGTCATGTCACTAACATGGGAGTCATCTTGAGTTCATCTCCAAGTTTTAAGTATGAAGATGGGCATGTAACACATTAAATTGGTGGAGAATCTTCCCCAAAAAACAATGGTGTGTTTAATTTTAGTGTAGCTTTACTCATTCTCAAGGTTTAAATTTTTCTTCTATACAGATGACAAAGGCATTGACAACACAAGCAGAATGTGCTGAGTTTATTTTCATATGTAATTGAATCGCTTGTGTTACTGTAGAACATTTCAACCAACACCATTCATCTTAAATAGCAAATTGATGACGTTTGTGCTAGTATTTAGTCAGATTTGTCATCTTTTTTTTTTTACATTGAAACTCAATGCAACTACAAAATCAAATGAGACTAGACTATTCATTTTACAATCTAATCCATATAGAGACAATTTTCCTGAACTGAAAAATACAACTATAGAAGTGTAATTAGTTATTTTCTTTTCTAATTATTAAAACAAAAATATTTACAAATAAATGTTCTGTCTGTTAAAATAACAGTACCATAATCAAATGAGAAAAATCTTAGTTTTAAATGTTTCAAAGCTCAGAATTTAATTTCGTTTCTTGTTTTTTCTTCTCTTTTTCTTATGGTAGTAAAATAGAAATAATTTGGTTTTTTCAAAAAATTTGTCTCAGTGATAAAATAAATTTTTAATTATTATTTCTTATTCTGTATGTTGTTAAGACATTTATATTTCACAATAATTCGAATTTTTTTTATTTTAATGAAAAATTTGTTGAGGATTATTGAAATGAATGATGCTAATGAGTACAAGAACAGTTTTTGTTTAATTTAGATGAGCATGGATTAATTTGGGATTGACGAAGTCCCTGGAATAAAATAAATATTATGTATTAATTACATAAATTAAAAGTTTTAAAATTTAAAAATTAAATATTTACTGAATACTTTTATATAATTTAATAATTTTTGGTCTAGTCTAAATCATCATCAGATCCTTTCCCATTAAAACAATGCATAAACTGCTATCTCATTCTAGCATGAAAGGACAGGACTAGTATTCTAGACCCATGTTCCCAAACATTTCAAACTACCATCCTCTTTTAATGCATATGCAGTAAAACCTTGCTAAGTAAAACTATGTTAACTCAAAATTACAATAATTAGAAGCTTCCAACAGGTTCAGGACATGGCATGTAGGATTTTCCATGTAATACAGTAAAGTCAAAATTGTCAATACTTTTAACTCACCAATTTTCCCATGTACCTTCTATCCTTTGATAGGTCCACAATGATCATTTTCTCTTATATTCTGTGTGAATATAGACAATTAAGATTAAAAAAAAAAAAAAAACCACCATACTATTACAACCTTACATCCTTTTACTGATACAGTATGTGATCAGCATTCTGATTGAGACAAGGGCGGTGTCTTGATAACATGTTCAAATGCACTGTAAATTGTATACAAGTTTGTAATCATTCTGTGAACGGATTCTTGAGAAACAGCTTGATTACAGGAAATTTACGGCCACAGAAAATTTTGAGTAAATTAGGTATCAAACTCACTGACTCAAAACTACTCAAAAGTCAGGATTTGTATACCACTTAAAGTTAAACTTAACAAGGTTTTACTGTTTATCTAATATTGATAAGTATTTTGACCAAAAGTACTTTTCACTATTAAATTTATATAGTAATATAAAGATATTGCTTTTCTAGTTTATTGAGCTTCAGCTAATGATTCATAATTAACTAATATATTATGTAAGTTATCATTGTCATATATTCAAAGTTTACTGTATATATGTTTCTTTATATAACTCTCATAAAAATTACTTCTTATCAATTTTAGTATCTAACCAAACTATAAAAAGTTTTCAATAATTTTATCATATAAACATTTTGAATATCCTCTTCAGTATAATATAATAATAAATCTTTAATTAATGTAACTATATTTTTCAGTATCTGTAGCTATATTAATCATATAAAATTGGTATTGAAATTATGTTTACTAGTGTTAAAATATTTTCCATAATGTAGAATTTTTAGAAAAATTATTGGTGATAAATATAAATGTAAAAGAATATAACTACTCTAATTATTTTATAAACTGTTTCATATAATATATTAAAAACATGTTTAACATATAACATTGAAAAATATTCTTTTCAAAATATGATTTTCCAATTTCATGCTCTCAAATTCAATCAATAATATTCTTCTTACTTTAGTGTTCAGTTCTTATTTTCCGTAGAGTTTTTGCAAGAAGATAGAGAAAACATATTAAAATATGTAAGAGTAGCTAGCTTATATAACAATTTGTTAATAAATAAATTATCTTATAATAATATATTGTCATAATGTTTTATTAACATTTTTAAACACTTGTACTCAAGCCTAGTTATATCTACTTGTATACTTGAAGATATTAAATTTATTTTAATGAAAGTGCTTGTAAACTTTTAGTTGTATTATGCTTTTATTTTTGTTTTGTCACTTTTTCTTTTTTAAAACTCTTTCCACCCTGTGGGCACTAAGAGGGCCTCATTTTAGCAAGCCCATTATGGGTTTCCCCAATGCAGGGCCATCGTAAGCGGGTGTGCAAGGCGTGCACCGCACGCGAGCGGCACGTCCAGGGGGCAGCAAAGAGCCTTTCTGGCAAGCTCAGCATAGGTAATCGTAGTTAAACAGGGGGCGGCATAATCGGTATTGCACACGGGCGTTCAAACAGCTAGCGGCGCCCCTGCCCCAATGGGACAGCCGGGTGTTGAGGGATGGGCCCGACATATCTGGACAGACCACCCCTGAAAATTTCCTGGGGATTTTTCAACCTGTCTGGATTTGATCCCAGGTTCCCCAGAGTGGTAGGCTGCCACCTTCACCGCTCGGCCATCTGGCCGGCTTGTTCTGTCATTGAAATAACACTAACAGACAATTTTTTCCTATTTTATTTATTGAAATTCTTGGTGTCTGTCATTCTTTTTGTCTGATTTTTTTTGAGTACAACATTTTCAGCATTGATAGCATTTAAAATGATCATATTCAATTATTGCACTGCTTCTGATTCTAGGTGAGAAGTGTAGTTGTTTCTCCTGTAAAGCAATATAAGTATTCCTAAAAATTATATTATGAAATTCTGTACAAAAAAAAAACAACAATGCTTATGGAAAACAGATTTATGGCAAAACATTCAAAACTTTATAGTCTGAAAGACTGTAAAGTTGCAATGTTTTATTATTTCAAGCTTCTCCTTAATACTTAAAGCTTTCCTTTTTCATTCATTTGTCAAATTCTTAATAATAAGGATATTTAATCAGTTCGGGATGTTATATTAAATATTAATACTTTTATCAATAAAAGTACACAAATTCAGAAGAACAGCAGAGTACACATTCAGGGTAACATGTATGAGAGAACTGGAGTAAGAGATTGTTTAAGAGGTGTTATTTCTCTAATTATCTACTATACATAATCAAATCTCTATACTATAATGTTATATACTGAACTAGTTTCCCCGAGATCAACAGTTTGCATTGACCACTTAAAAAGTTACCTTTTCTATCTTTGATATTTTAAAAAATATATTACAATGCACATTATGAACAAAATATTATGTATCCATTGTTTATGATTAAAAAATTAAAGTATTTCAACTTTAATTTTCTAATAAATAAAAAAAATTTCAGAAAACAGCATTCTATTTGGAAAGAAAAATGTTTCTAAATTTCTTATGACAATAAAATATAAACAAAAAGCTAAAGTAAAAAGCCACACTCATTATTATAACACTACAATATATTTACTGATAAAAGATCCTTTTTTAAATCATAAAATATTTAATTACGAAAACTATATTTTTATTAAATCAATAATGAAAAATATTACCTGATAATAGCCTGTATGATACCCACTCATATACCATGACATCAACATAGATGCTAAAGCTTCATCTTCATTTACAATACTATCTTCAATGGGAAATGGAGGAGGAGGCATTGGAGGTATTGTCTTTAAAAAATTTCAATAATTAAAAAATAAATATTACAAAATATATATGAAATAAAATATGTATGATTAATATTATAGTTTAACAAATATTTTAAAACCATTCTTCTCTTATCAATTATAAAAGATTCCGAAAAATCTATACACCATATTTATTCGCATATAAGATGAGGTTTCTATTAATTTTTCACTGTTTCAAAAACCTAGGTCGTCCTATAAGTGCGAGGGAAGGATTCTTTTCGTTTTTGCAATAATTATTGTGAACTGTGTATTTGCATTTTTTACCAGATTCTCACCTTCTGGTGTTTAAAAACAAAAGTATTTTATTTGGGTCATTTGAATTGTTCTTGTGTATTGTCAGGAGTAAAGATGAATAGCAGTAAGAAAAGCTTTTGAATTAAATTCCAAAATTACCCAGAGCCCGACATAAGTTTTAATTCATTCCCATGTGAAAACATGATTATTTGGAAATCAGAATTTGAAGAAACTTATAAGTGTAATTGACAAAGAGTGAATTCAACTGTTAAGAATTAGCGAAAAAGGTTCCCAATTGTCCAGTTTTACGTAAACAAAATTATGTTGTTGATTTTACAATATTTTTCCTTGAAGTTTAAAATGCCAGTAATTTTTGCAGCAACTGATTTAAATTGATTAAAATTCAGTATATATAGTGATAATGTTTTTTCGCTTATTTTATTTGAATAGTTTGAGAGCTTTTAAAATGGCCATGATGATTTTAAAGATGACAGATATAAAAATGATCATAAAAAATTGATCACTGTCAATCACCTCTTCATTCATAAAAAAAAAAATCTGTTTTAAAATTCAAACAATGATTAAGTAGCATAAAGTTTTGGATTGTTTCAACTAAAATAAATGATTTGTACTTACAAACAGGAATCTTTGTAGCTTTGTCATCCTGAATTTTGCTGAAATTTTAATACACTTAGTACACTCCTCCCAAAATACAAAGTAATGTAAATTATGCCAATGAGCAGTATTTTACAAGAAATCATTACTAAAACTTTTCTGTAAGTGTTATATATTAAATGCTATATCAATACTCATGGCTTATATCAATAAAACTCAGCAACAAGTGGCACAGATAGGTAAGTAAAGCACAAGGTGAAAAGCTCAATGTTATAGATTCAATTATGCTTTTTTCAAAGTTTTTCCCACAATTTTTTGTTTAGTATACAATCCACTGAATTGTTAGAAAATATATTTGGTCCATAAATACTATATTGTAAATATTATCATCATCCACATATTCCTAAATTATGCCAGAGGAAAGTATTTTCAATGAAAAAAAACAATTATTTCAAAATTACATAACAAATTTATGTATTGCATAAAGTTACATAATTTCACAATTACATTAATTCTTACTCTTGGAATGTTGTTCATAAGTTTTTATTTGTATTTTGATGATAATTATTGAAAAAAAACATTTGAAACAAAGTACCAATTGACACCAAACACATTTGATGGAAGTAACATCTTTGCAACAATACCAATTATTTACCATTGTCAAAGGAAAGTAAGTAACCTATACTTACTGGTTTAAAAATATGCAGATGACAACAATAATTACATAATAGTACAGTCGACCCCCCTATAACACTGTTGATAATTCCATTTTATATGAATTCCATGTTGTACGAGTAACTTAGATTTTATACATACGTGTGCCAGGCTGTGAACGGCTCACATATGTGTAAAATCTAAGTGACTCGTACAACACGGAATTCATATAAAACGGAATTATCAACAGTGTTATAGGGGGTTGACTGTATTTTTGGACTAAATGTATTTTCTAATAATTCACTGGATTGCACACTTCAGAAAAAAATTATAGAAAAAACTTGAAAAAAAAAAAAAAAGCAGAATTGAATCACAACATCAAGCTTTTTAATCTAGTACAGTACCTTACTCAGCCATGCCACTTGTTGCAAGTGGTTTACAGAAATTGATGTATATAATGCACAAATAAAAGTTTAAACAGCAATTTCTCATAAAGTACTTTCTTGTTGGCATGAGTAACACCATTGTGTATTATTGGGAGAGATGTAATAAAATTTCAGCAAAATCCATGCTGTCAAAACTTGGATCTTTCCTTGTTAAATTGAAAGTACTAGTCAAGTATAATTAATTTACTGCTGATTTAAAAATAATGGCTCTTTTATTGTTATTTTATTTTTAAAAAAGATTGTTAAATAAGATCTAGTTTTGGAAAAACAGGAAATTTGAGTTCTGATTTACACAATGCATGATCTTATAAGAAAAGATGAAAAAGTTCAGGAAAAATATAAGCTTACAGAACTAAAATGTCTATATTAAAAAATTCTAAATATAACTTTTGCATAAAAATTTTAATCTGACTTTCAATATATCTCATTATTATTGATAGTTCCTTAATTATTTGTTACAAAATGATGTAAAAGGTATATACTTGTGTTTAGTAATAAAAGTATATACATTTTATGTCATTTTATAACATAGTAATCAAGAAATATCAGAATTTGTTTAAAAAATTATCAGATTTATTTTATTATTATTATTTTGAGTATCTTCAATTACAGAAAATGTTCAAATAAAACCATTTTTGCATGTCTTTATATCACTTTGTTCAGAATCACAGTAATGTAAAAATATTTTCTTGAAATCATAATATGCAGATGAATAAATAACACTTTATTTAGATATGTAATTCATAGGAGGAGAACTAAAAATCTGTATAATGAATTAAATATTACTATAAAAACAATCTGAGGTAATATCTGTCAGTTTTCATTACATAACTTAATAAAGAAAAAATTTATTTAATACTGTGACACTGTTTTAATGAAAGAAAATATTTTTAACATTTAGAGTAACAATTCTAATGTATGTTGGAAAAAAATGATTAATGAAAAATAATAAAATAGAATATCCCTGAAATGATATTAAAAAATTAAACCTTTTCAATATTTTACCTATTTTTTATTATTTTATTTCTCTTAAAGTATTACAGTCACAAGTTTTAGAAATTTATGGTTTATATCAAAAACTATTAGTTTGTGTTTTAATTAATTGTTCATTTTAACTGAATTTATTACTTTAATAATAATGTTTATCAAAAAAAACTAACCTGCATACAATTTCTTTTATGATGACAAGAAAATGGAGGTAATGGAGGCATGTTTGAAGATGGTACAAATGTCTGAAAACATTTATTATTAATAAATTGATATAATGTGTTATGTTTCATAAAATATATTATCTACAAATTAAATAATATTCAACAATTTTTCTAAAAATGCTATAATCATTTCTTAAGTTTTACTATCGTTTTAAAAGTTAATTTCTGAATAAACACAAAAACACTGTGCTCATAAAGACTTTGCACACTAATCACACATATTGTTGCAATCATAGTTTCTCTTGAAAATCTTTAATATGATCTATTATACATTTATAATTTTCTATTTAATTATTGTTAGGTTTTTTTGATTTTACATTTTATGTAATATCCACTTAATAGCATTCAATATAAAATTTTCTTTCATTTGTCAACATGTCACTCAAATTATTTTGAGTATATTTGTATCAGTTATATCATTGTAGGATAAATTAGTGAGACAAGATTTTTCATTTCAAACTATATTATTAATTTTAACTATTATACTTTTTCTACATATTTAAACTTCCTAAATTCAAAATATAAACCTTTAAGATCCTCATTGGTGTAACAACGCAATCCTATCTTACCCAATTTAGCCATTCGTCATCAAGAAAAACTGGTATATTTAACTTGTGGCAGAAAATATCATCTACCACAGATAATATTAACAAGTGAATTTTGTCAATGCAATATCTGAGATGTAATTTTATAATAATTTGCAAGTTTTGATTCACTTATATTAAAAAAACTCAATTATTTCTGATACTATGGACCCATAAAACTACTATTAAAATTAACTAAAGTTTGCTATGTTAAAATTTATTAAATCATAAGAAAAATAATCATTTTTGATTACCATTAAGTTTTTTAAAATAGTTTTTGATTTTACTGAACAACAACAAAAACATTAAATTAAATGCAATTTTTCTTCATTAACAAAAAATTTATTATTCAATTCTCTCTTCTGTATATGCATTTTGGGTTGATGTAAAATTTCAACCTCTCTTCAGTGAATCTGTACATTCTTTTAGTTGTTCTTTATAAAAAAAAACACATACAGATTCACTGAAGAGAGTCTGAGGTTTTATGTCAACCCGAAATGCATATGTAGAAAAGAAAATTGAATAATAAATTTATGTTATTAAATCAATGAATATTTGTTTGGCTGTTTGAAATACTACACCTGATGATAAAAGGATTATAGAGTTAAAACTCAATGGAATTTTCATTGATGAAATTTCTACTGCAACTACATTTGAATTCAAATTATTAGAACAACTTGCTAAATTTTAATGGTTCATATAGAATTGTAGATGTACAAACATAGGATAGTAACTTTGGAAGACATAACTGAGTTAAATTTGAAAATCACTTAAGCAAACAAATGGGGTAAAATTTTTCTAATATGCTTATACATTGAATAAGATGGGATAAGAAATAAAACTCAACAATTTTAAGCTGGACCATAGCTTTGGAAGTAATGTGTTTCTTTTAATATAAGTAAAATGAAATAAGTTATTTTAAATTTAATAATTAATCACTTAACTGTTAAAAATAAATCACAGAACCATAAATCTACTTTGCATAAATTTGCACAGACTTTGTATAAATCAACAACATAATAATGAGGTTTGAATGTATACATGCCATATAATATATAGTATTTAATAATAATTTTCCAAAAATTGAGTTCATGTAAACTTTATAAAACTTTTTTTTATAATATTATAATATTTTGATTACTCAAACTCCCTAACGCCTTATTGTCCATAGTGCGCCTTTGTTTTGACAATTGCAGTTTTACTAAATATGGCTTTTTTTGGAATGTAACCATTGCAGT